TGATAGTAGTGGTAACGGTGGTAAAAGGTAATGGTAGCAAAGTAATATGATAGTGGTGGTAATGGTAACAAAAGAGTAACGAAAGCAAAGTAATATTTTTGGTATTTTGTAGTGATTGTAATAATAGCAACGGGAAAGTAAATAAGCGTAAACCAGTATATGGAAAGCTCGTAGGCATCGGATCAGTAATGGATAATTATGCCGGATGTGGTTCATCATGTAATAGTCATAACATAGGGTGACACAGAACTAGCTCCAGTTCATTGATATATTGTAGGCATGTATTCCGAATATAGTCATACGTGCTTATGGAAAAGAATTTGCATGACATCTTTTGTCCTACCCTCCCGTGGCAGTGGGGTCCTAATGGAAACCAAGGGATATTAAGGCCTCCTTTTAATAGAGAACCGGAACAAAGCATTAGCACATAGTGAATACATGAACTCCTCAAACTACGGTCATCACCGGTAAGTATCCCGGTTATTGTCACTTCGGGGTTAACGGATCATAACACATAATAGGTGACTATAGACTTGCAAGATAGGATCAAGAACTCTCATATATTGATGCAAACATAATAGGTTCAGATCTGAAATCATGGCACTCGGGCCCTAGTGACAAGCATTAAGCATAGCAAAGTCATAGCAACATCAATCTCAGAATATAGTGGATACTAGGGATCAAACCGTAACAAAACTAACTCGAGTACATGGTAAATATCATCCAACCCATCACCGTCCAGCAAGCCTATGATGGAATTACTCACGCACGGCGGTGAGCATCATGAAATTGGTGATGGAGGATGGTTGATGATGACGACGGCGACAAATCCCCCTCTCCGGAGCCCCAAACGGACTCTAGATCAGCCCTCCCGAGAGGTTTTAGGGCTTGGCGGTGGCTCCGTATCGTAAAACGTGATGATTTCTTCTCTCTTATTTTTTTCTCCCCGAAAGCAGATATATAGAGTTGGAGTTGGGGTCGGGAGGTCTCCAAGGGGCCCACGAGGTAGGGGGCGTGCCCTAGGGGGGCGCCCCCACCCTCGTGGACAGGGTGTGGTCCCCCTGGTCTTCATCTCTGGCGAGGATTTTTTATTATTTATTGTAAGATATTCCGTGGAGTTTCAGGTCATTCCGAGAACTTCTGTTTTCTGCACATAAAACAACATCATGGCAATTCTGCTGAAAACAGCGTCAGTCCGGGTTAGTTCCATTCAAATCATACAAGTTAGAGTCCAAAACAAGGGCAAAAGTGTTTGGAAAAGTAGATACGACAGAGACGTATCAGTCGACTACAGGCAGCTCAACGCGCTCACGTGCGTTAGCAAGTACCCAGTGCCGGTGATCAAGGAACTGCTGGATGAACTCCACGGCGCCAAGTGGTTCTCCAAGCTGGATCTTTGAGCAGGATACCACCAGATCCGCCTGGCAGAGGGGGAGGAGTTCAAGACGGCGTTCCAGATGCACTAGGGGCACTACGAGTTCCTTGTCGTGTCGTTCGGCCTTACCGGAGGGCCCCCGACCTTCCTGGGCGCCATGAACACCACGCTGCACCCACACCTGCGTGTGTGTGTTCTAATTTTCTTCGACGATATCCCGGTGTTCAGCAAAACCCTCCAAGACCATGCCCGTGACCTGAGAAATGTGCTCGCTCTGCTCAGAAGGGACCAGTGGAAGGCCAAACTATCAAAATGCGAGTTCGGACAGTGGCGCCTCTCCTATCTGGGGCATGTGATCAGCGCCCACGGTGTTGCAACAGAGCCAGCCAAGATAAGAGTGGTGTCACAGTGGACATCTCTGGACAGTACCAAGGCAGTCTGTAGCTTCCTCGGCTTAGCAGGCTACTATCGTCGCTTCGTCAAGAACTTTGGCATTATAGCACGACCCCTTTTCAACCTCCTAAAAAGGTTGTGCCTTTTGTCTGGACTTTGGTGACTAAATCAGCCTTCCAAGCGCTTAAGCAGCAGCTGATTGAGGCACCAGTGCTGGCTTTGCCAGACTTCTCCAAGACGTTTGTAGTGGAGACCGACGCCAGCGATAAGGGCATCAGAGCAGTTCTGCAACAGGGAGGGCATCCCATTGCATATATGAGCAAGGCACTAAGTCCGCGTTACCAGGGTCTATCCACTTACGAAAAGGAATATTTGGCAGTCATTGTGGCGGTGGACCAGTGGAGACCTTACCTCCAGCACATAGAGTTCATCATCTCCACTGACCAACGCAGCCTAATCCACCTCAACGAGCAGCGCCTCACAACACCATGGCAGCAGAAGGCGTTTACTAAGCTCCTGGGGCTGCGTTTCACCGCCCGTTACAAGAAAGGAAGCGACAACACGGCCGTCGATGCTCTCTCGCGCGCCAATCTAACCAAGCTGCTGCATGGCATCAATTCCTGCCAACCCGCCTGGCTCGAGGAGGTCATCGCCAGTTACAACAGTAACCCACATGCTCAGCGTCTTCTGGAACAACTATCCATCAGGGAGGACCCAAAAGGGCGGTTCACCCTCAAACAAGGACTGCTGCGTTTTCGTGACAGAATCTGGCTAGGGGGGTCAACACAGATGCAGCAACGCATTATATTGGCATTCCACGACAGCGCCATGGGGGACATTCATGCTTCCCAGTGACTTATCGTTGCATCCGCGGGCTGTTTGCATGGCCCAAAACAAAGACACATGTTCAACAGTACGTGCGCTGCTGTCAGGTACGTCAACAAGCAAAACCAGATAGATCAGCTTCTCCGGGTCTCTTGATGCCTCTACCAATTCCTCGCGAGTCTTGGGATCTCATTACCATGGATTTCGTGGACCGGCTGCCGCAATCGGGGCAGTTCAACTGCCTGCTGGTGGTTGTGGATAAGCGCACGCGATTTGCCCATTTTCTTCCTCTGGCGCACCCTTATACTGCTGCCAAGGTGTCTGTTCTGTATATGCAGCAGTTATACAAGCTGCATGGATTCCCTGGAGCCATTGTGTCTGACCGAGACCCATTGTTTACCAGCCACTTTTGGCAAGAGTTGTTCAAGTATGCCGGAACGGAGCTGTGCATGAGCACGGCAAATCACCCACAAACGGATGGCCAGACGGAGAGAGTCAACCAGTGCATCGAGACCTACCCGAGGTGTTTCGTTCAAGCATGTCCCCAAAATGGAGCTTTTGGATTCCGTTGGCACAGTTCTGGTATAATTCCTCGTACCACTCCGCAATAGGCACGACTCCTTTCAAGGCGATGTTCGGGTGAGAGCCCAGGCACTGGGGAATCACATCAACCACTTCCTATACGGTACCTGCACTGTAGTCCTGGCTTGAAGAGCGCAAGGTGATGCAAGGAGTAATCCAACAACAACTCCATCGAGCCCGTCAACTCATGAAGGATCAAGCAGATAAGAAACACAGTTCAAGGTGGGTGACCAAGTCTTCCTCAAGCTGCAGCCGTACATCCAATCTTCGGTTACCCCCTGCGCAAACCACAAGCTCTCCTACAAGTTCTACAGACTGTTTCCCATCATCGCCAAGGTCAGACGTCGCTTACGAGCTCAAGCTGCCACCTCAAGCTGCGGTGCATCCCGTGTTCCACGTCTCGCAGCTCCGGCAAGCACTCCTACCGGGCATCACTGCATCGTCGACACTGCCATCGACGGAGGAGGACCTCGCCGTACCCATGGTCGTCATGAGTTCAAGATGGCGCAAGAAGAATGGAAAATGAAGGAGCAAGTTCAAGTGCAGTGGTCGACTCCGACGACCGGCACCATCTGGGAGGACAAGGAGGCATTGCACACGCGCTTCCCGCACGCGGAGGCTTGGGGACAAGCCTCTTTTGAAGGAGAAGGGAGTATTAGCGACCCCGCCCAAGAATGTTCTTTCCTAGAAGTATCTAGTTATGAATCTAGAGCCTCATTTCTGACTCAATGAATTACAGAAGTTCAGGCCGCACAAGATAATTATGATTTCGTGGAATTCTCCTGTTGAAAATTCTGTTCAGAAAATCTTGAGTCTTAAAATATCACATAAAAAATATTACATGTGTGGATATAAATCTCGTTGTGTGGAGAAGATATTTCTGTCTCTTGCTGGCGTTTTTTTTTTTGGATGACGGGGTCTCTTGCTGGCGGTTGGTTGTATTGGGGAATCCGATAAGAGGCCTCATCCGATAATATGCCCTGGGAATTTAGGTGCCGAATATTCCTTTTCATAACCCAACTCCAACTCGGGTTAGAAAACCAAACCGGGGAGTTTCGGTGCCGGATATTCGTTTCCGTAACTCAACCAGGGTTAGAAGCCCGAACCGCAGCTATATGTTCCCAATTCCTCCACAGAGTGCGTTCTGGAAGGTAGTCACAGAGCGATGGGCCATCGTATCCTCTGGCCCACATGTCATGCTCACGAGACTACGAGAGTGTACTGCTTCCTCACGTGGGTTTAATAAACACGCAACCAATTGCAGAGGACGAGCGTGAGGCTCATGGTTTTGGCCTTCAATTGTTTGGTCCACCAAACCAAGACGGAAGGAAACAGTGATGTCTCAAAAAGAAAAAAAGATGGAAGGAAACAGCACAAGGATCGATCCATCTGACATCTGGGCCAACCTGGATTTGGTCCCACGCGTCACTCGGAGTGGACGGATAGCTTGGTAGCGAAACTGCGTGCACGAATCCGATCGGCAAAAGCACACCGCGACGGAGGAACGAGCGGTCCACGCCCCTAGCGAGGGACGCGTCTACCTCACCCACCAATTCTCCTACCCGCGCCTCTGACGATACATCGCGGACGTGTGGGCCAGGTGGCTGCTCTGGCCCGCAAACCAGACCTGGCCCGAAACCGTCAGTGGCACAGCCTGTAGGCGTGTTGCCCCCGCGCCCGTCACCGCGAGCCACCTAATCTCTTTCCTCTCTTGCCATAAACTGCGGGTGCTAGGGTTAGAGACGCACGGAATTCGTTCCTGCGCACCGGAAGACCAAACCAATTGGCACCGCCGCCTTCGTCTTGAGAGCTTCGTTCGGTAGCGATGGAGTGCCTTGCCGAGATGCCGCATGCGCCGCTCGACCGCCGCCCGCGCAAGCGGCAGCGCCTTGGCTGGGATGTCGGCCCCGAGATCCCTCAGGTATAACCCCGATCCGGACGCGGTTCTTTTCCTCTTACCCTGCAGATCTGCAGGGTAGTAGCTTGTTTGTGTTGATTAGTAGTTGCTGTGATTTCGATTTCAATCGTTTCGATAGGTAGCGCATGCAGATCTCCCTAAGTAGAGCCTGGTTTCTACTTAGATTGGAGTGCTTTTGCTAATCTGGCCATGCGCTTTTCTTCTGTTTTCGGATTAGGGCGTGGGTTGGCCGAAGTATCCTTTAATTTTTGCCCGTATAAAATTAATATATTTTAGGTATAATATTCCCCAGTTTTTCAATATTTGGCACGCCCTTTGGATCCGTTTATGAGGGTTTGCATACTATCCGATCAAAAAGCAAATGATGATCCAGTATGTTGTTTGCACTTGATTTATGTCGGCCTGTTATTGTAAATTATAATCTGTAGTGCTTAAGTAGGTCATAAGTAATAGATTGTTTCCTGAAGATTTGATATGACTAAGTCTAACGCAATCAGATTCCTCTAGTTTTGTTCTTGCTGCAGATATTTTGTAGCAATTGTAAAATATTTTACAGTCTCTGAACATAATTTATCTCCTGAATTTGGTTGTTGCAAAATGGAATTTCCTTTACAAACTTTATGCATAATCTTTTATAATTGTCTTCTGGTGCAGCTAAAAAAACTGTGTGGGGAAGAAGTCGCAAATGTAATTAGTGCTATGACAATGGGGCTATCTTCTGGTGGTATTGTTTCCTCTCAGGAGACCCAAGGGCTTTTTCGTTTTGTGACGCCTCCTCTGAGAGAAGATGACAAGGATGGACATTATGTTTTTGCTGTTGGAGACAACCTGACATCACGCTGTAATTACCTTCTCACAAGTTTGTTTGTTTATTTCTGAACTGAGTGACGTTTTACATATCTTTGTTCTTATGGTTTGTATCTATGTCTGCAGATAGGATTAATGCAAAAATGGGTGAAGGTCAGTTTTGGACAGCCGCCTTTACATCTGTTTATGTGTCAGAATTCTCAAGGCGTTTCTTGCGCACTGCTATTGTTGACGTTGGCAGGATGTGCTCATAATTGACTACGTGTTTGCAAATACATCAGGTACCTTTGGTCAGGTGTTGGAATGTTGGGACAGGGAACGGAAAGAAATGGTTGCTATTAAGATCATCAGAGGAATTAAGAAGTACAGGGATGCTGCAATGATAGAAATTGGCATGCTCGAGCAGCTTTGTAAATATGAAAAAAGCAGATCCAGGTGAGTCCTCAGTTTTACTTTCACAATTCCTGCCGTGTATATTTTATTCCTGTGTGTGATTTACTTTGTTAAGATTGCCTGTATATAAGCTGGTCTATTTTGCAGTTGTGTTCAAATTCGGAACTGGTTTGACTATCGTAACCATATCTGTATTGTAAGTACATCATTAGATTATGGCAGAGTTATCAACTAACCACAAGAGATAACCCTGAGCTTAAACATTGGTGAATTTGAATGAATGGTGGGCAGGTCTGTGAGAAGCTTGGGCCAAGCTTATATGATTTTCTGCGGAAAAACAGTTACCGCTCATTCCCAGTTGCCATAGTTCGGGAGGTTGCCAAACAACTGTTGGAATGTCTAGCATGTGTGTGCACACTTCTGCCACCCCTTGTACCTGCAGTAGTATGCTATTGTAGATCATTATTCCATTATTTTAGGGTGTCATCTGTTGATGACTGTTTTTAATTATTTGATCATGATCGCTAGGATTATCTAATGTGCTTTTGTCAAATATTTATCTTCTCTGTAATGTGTGTTGCAGTTATGCATGATTTGCGCCTCATTCACACTGATTTAAAGCCCGAGAACATTCTTCTTGTTTCTCCGGAGTACATTAAAGTTCCTGATTATAAAGTATACTTTATTCTTTTACTAACTTGACCTTGCAGTTATAAATTATTCAACTTAGATTATTGTGTATGCTGTTCGTGCTAATTCTTTGCTAATAACTGCTAGGTTTCATCCTGTTCACCGAAGGAGGGATCCTACTACAAGCGTGTGCCCAAGTCCAGTTCAATAAAGGTTATTGATTTTGGCAGCACAACATATGACCAGCAGGACCAGACCTATGTCGTTTCTACTAGGCATTATCGTGCTCCGGAAGTTATCCTGGGTATCTTTCTCGCCCAGTGCAAAGGCTCTTCCCTTCAGCTAGATTTTGGGGTTGTAAGTTATTTATATTTGCCATGGTGGATGTTGTTCAGGACTTGGATGGAGTTACCCATGTGATATCTGGAGCGTTGGGTGTATACTAGTTGAACTCTGCACGGTATGTCATTGGGGCTTACTTTCATCTGTCATTAAGTCACAAGGATAGAGTTTTTGAGCTACCAGAGGTACTGCAGGGAGAGGCGCTGTTTCAAACCCATGAAAATTTGGAGCATCTTGCTATGATGGAGAGGGTGCTTGGGCCGTTGCCATATCACATGCTCAAGAAGGCCGAGTATGTTGCTGTCCTTGATCCATACCAGTGTCGTAAGCTTTCAGCCATGCAAGAGAATTACTCAAACTATGTGTTTTGTTATTCCTTTTATGTAGTCGACATGGTGAGAAATATGTGAGGAAGGGCCGTTTAAACTGGCCTGAAGGATGTGCTTCACGGGAAAGCATGAAAGCTGTCATGAAGCTGCCTCGGCTTCAGGTATTATCCATATCCTGTTGTCCCCATTCAAATTGTGACCATTTTTAGATTTGTTTGGCTTATGAATCGAACTGATTTTGTGCAAGCAGAATCTGGTGATGCAAAACGTAGAACATTCTGCTGGGGACTTCATCAATCTTTTGCAAGGGCTGCTGAGTTATGATCCAGCAAGCCGCCTAACGGCCCAAGAGGCCCTTGAGCATCCATTCTTGACGGAGCTGAGTGAGCGAAGAAGATGATGTGCCCAAGATCCTAGCATCTGCCATGTCGCTAACTTATAACTTGTATGTTTGAGCCGTGACTTCCATTTGTCGTGTTCATGGAATGTCAGAGATTCCATTCTCTCTTCCATGGAATGGAAGAAATAATTAAATTAGATAGGATTTAACAGTAGCTTTCTCATTGCATTACGTGCTTGTGTAACCTGCTCGTTATCTGGACATATGTTGACTTGTGTGTATGTAATCAAGATGAGATTCTCTCCATGAATATATTTTGAGAGAGAATTCCTTATTTGGCCCTACCTTAAAATTTGGTGATCCATTCTTTACGGAGCTGAGTGAGCGAAGAAGATGATGTGCCCAA